GTGTTTAGCAGGCACAAGTACGACATTGGCTGCACAGACCTGTTGCGCCACCACATAGAGACTGGGGACGCGGCCCCTATTCGACAGAATCCCTTCCGGCTCAGTCCAGCCGAGAAGGAGCATGTGCAGTCGGCAGTAAATGACATGTTGGCGGCCGACATCATTGCGCCCTCTTCCAGTCCGTGGGGTGCTCCTATCGTCTTGGTTAAAAAACAGGATGGATCCCTGCGGTTCTGTGTTGATTTCCGCCGCCTAAACAAAATATCAATGGCCGATGCGTATCCGCTCCCCAGGATGGATGAGTCGCTGGATGCCTTGGCAGGAGCACAGTTTTTTTCGACGCTCGATTTGCTTTCGGGATTTTGGCAATTGCCCCTCGATGACGAATCAAAACCTAAAACCGCTTTCCGGACACCGGGAGGCCTATTTGAGTTCAACCGATTGCCCATGGGTTTACATTCCGCTCCTGCCACGTTCCAGAGGCTCATGGAATTGGTTTTGTCAGGCCTTCAATGGGACACCTGTTTGATTTACCTCGATGATATCATCGTTTTCAGCCGAACTTTTGAGGAGCACCTCCAGCGACTGAGAGCAGTGTTTCTCAGGATGCGTTCCGCGAAGCTTAAATTTAAACCGGCTAAATGTTTTCTGCTTCGGGAATCGGTCAGGTATTTGGGCCATATCGTTAGCTGTTCGGGGATCTCGACGGACCCTGCTAAGACGCAATGCGTCGGCTCATGGCCAACACCGACCTCTGTTACTGAAGTCCGCAGCTTCATAGGATTTGCCTCCTATTACCGTCGTTTTGTCAAGCAGTTTGCCACCATAGCCAGGCCCCTGCACGCCTTGACGGCTAAAGGGGTGCGGTTTCACTGGGGGCCGGAGGAGGAGGCCGCGTTCTGCTCCCTTCGTGACGCCTTGGTGCAGGCTCCCCCCTTGTGTTACCCCGATTTCACGCAACCGTTTGTGCTCAACACGGATGCCAGTAACACGGGTATCGGGGGAGTGCTCTCACAGGTGGTCGGGGGGGTCGAACGGGTGGTCGCCTACGGTAGCAGGGTTCTGTCCCCCGCCACGGATACTACGGGGGTCGACGCCCCCACGGGGAGGGACTCGCTGTTAGCATTGCCTCTCATCGAGTGGGGCCGTCTGCAAATGGCCGACAGCTCCCTACTCGCGCTACGTCGGAAGGTTAACGTTCCCGAGGGCGGGGAAACGCGGGTCGGTTCCTGGGTGTCCAGACAGGGCCTCTTGATGAAGTGGGACTCCATGTCCCGGCGTCACATGCTTGTGGTGCCGGTTGCTGTACGGGGTAAGGTCGTCCTGGCTGCCCATGAACGACTCATGCATCTGGGGTTTCACAAAACGCTCGCCCTCATTCAGCGAGACTACTATTGGCCTGGGATGGGCAATGACGTGGCGAACATTCTTAAGGGGTGTGTAGGGTGCGCTAAAAGAAAACCGCCACCAATAGCGGCTAATCCACCGCTTCAATCCATTCAAGTTTCGCGCACGAACGAATTGGTCGCGCTAGACATCTTGGGGCCCTTTCCCACTACACCTCGGGGAAATAAGTTCCTGCTGGTTGGCGTAGAGTACTTCACCCGCTGGCCCATGGCGTGGCCACTCGCCAACCAGTCGGCTGCGGCAGTGGCGGACGCCTTTGTCCAAGGTTACGTTTTGGACAAAGGCGCCCCCGAACGCTTGCTGACGGATCAAGGGAAAAATTTTTCGAGTGTTTTGTTGCGCGAGGTGTGCGACCTGTTGGGTACAAAGAAAGTACGTACCTCCCCGTACCACCCGCAGACTGACGGTATGGTTGAACGTCTGAACAGAACGATTACGTCTATGCTGTGCCAACAGGTATGCGACGACCAGGTGGATTGGGACTTACAGGTACCGGGGGTACTAGCGGCCTATCGGATGGCACCCCATGCGGCGACGGGGTTTTCTCCATTTTTTCTGATGTATGGGCGGGAGGCTGATCCGGCCATGGACGTCCAACTGGGGATTTCACAGCCACGTGCAAAATCAAAATTGGCAGACCACATTAAGTTTAACATTGCCAAATTGGCTGAGGCGCGAGAGGCTGCGAGATTGAATTCACGCTCTCGGCAGATCGCGAACGAGCGATTGCATGAACGGAAGGTGCATACGCACAATTGGGAACCGGGCGATAAGGCCTGGCTGCATTGTCCACACGCACCGTTGGCTACGTCCCCCAAACTGTTGAGACCATGGAGGGGACCGGTGGAAATTGTGCGGGTTGCACGACCCCAGAGTATACAGATTAAATGGGGAAAACGCCGTTGGTACGTGCACCCCTCCCGACTGAAACCCTACGCGGCGCCGCGTGACCCCGGGTTGTGCCGTGACGACCGAGCGTGTGATGTGACCGTCGACTCGGGGAGGGATGTGTCGCAGGCTGATCCTCACGTGTCTCCACCTGACCCACCCCCAGGTGTCTCGGACCTGACGGCTGTTGACCGTCGGGAACCGGAACCCCGCGGCTCGCGCGGAGCCCCGATGCCTGGCCCATGCCTTCCTGAACTGCCGGCGCCGCCGGATGGCCAACTGCGTCCTGTGCCGTACGACGGTCCGGCAAGGCGGACTCGGGCAAGGACGCAACACTTTTCATGAAAAAAAAAATAAAAATTCTTTTTTTTGTTAAAGCCCGACTTCGTTGCCGGCTTCCCCCTCTGCCGGGGTAATGTCCCGTTCAAGGGACGCTCGGACACATTGGGACGCTGCATGAGTCGGAGAGAAAAGAAGAGAAAATGATTAAAGAAATTTTTTTTTATTGTTACTCTTTCCGCATACACAGTATCGTTGCCACTCGCCGGATTGTGCATGTTGTTCTTGTTGTGGGTGTGGGGGTTGCTGGGTTTTGCGGATTGCGGTGTTCATGTTGTGTTGTTAGGGTTTGTGTTATGTTACGGGGCACACATGGGGGTGAAGGGGTGTTGTATGTTTTATTAGCAGCCGGGTCGGCTGCGAGCTATGTGGTAGGGGGTGATGTAGTGGTGGTATTGACGTGCGCCGGCAGTGATGGATCACGGGGCGAGGGGTTGGGCACGCGATGTGGGCGTGGCATGGACGCGCGCGCCGGTGGTAAGGCGCGCTCACACAAGCTGGGAAAAGAGGATCGTAGCGAGTGCGCAGTGATTGGTCAGATAAGTGGGTGCTCTCAGCGACGTCCGCAGGAGGGGTATAAAGGGGGACGCGTGAGAGCACTCGTGGTCAGTGTTAACCAGTTGAAGACCGAAGACGGGGTGGAGGAGGTAGTGGCCCGAGACCCCTAGTCCCGCCGTCCTTGTGGGGACCGGGGCCCTGTGTGGCTCGGAGCCGAGACTGGGGGACCGTAGTCCGACGCCCGTGTGGGTCGGGACGGTGGTACCCAGAGCCGAGACGGGCACCCCGGCTGGGTGTGTCCCGGAAGGCTACGGGGCGTAAGAGCCCGTGTCAGTACAGCTGAGTGGGTGTTAGTCACCCGAGTAGCTAAGGAGGGTGTTGGTCACCCGTGTAGCTGAGTGGGTGTTGGTCACCCGTGTAGCTGAGTGGGTGTTGGTCACCCGTGTAGCTGAGTGGGTGTTAGTCACCCGTGTAGCTGAGTGGGTGTCCGTCACCCGTGTAGCTAAGTGGGTGTTGGTCACCCGTGTAACGAAGTAGGGTGTTAGTCATCCGTGTAACTACAAGTTGGTGAAAATAAAGAGTGTGCTACCCGTGAAGTCGTCTCCTGCCGAGTTACTACTTTACATATACAGTACATTATACACTACTAATCAGGACACTATACACGGCTATACACTACACCACTTTGCAATACACTATACACTATACTTACACTACACTATACACTACACTATACACCACAATATACAGTACACTTCTATACACCCAAAACTACAATACACTCAATACCATATAAACTACACTATACACCACTATATACACTAGACTATACACAACACTGCTATGCATACTACACTGATATACACTCCACTACTATACGCTAAACTATACATTAATATATACACTACTATATACACTACTATACACTACTATATAAACTTCTATATACTACTATATACACTACATTATACACTACACTGCTATACACATTTCACTGCTATACACTACACTATGCGAATATGCAATATACTACTATACACTACATTGTACACTACACTACGCACTACTATACACTACACTACTATATATTACACGACTATACACGATACTACTATACACTACTACACTACTATACAAACAACACTACTGTACACTATACTATGCTACTATAAAGTACACCATTAAACGCTCCTATAAATTGCACTATGTACTACATTACAATACACTAAACTAGTATACACTACACTACTATACACTACACTACCATATACTACACTATACACTGCACTACTATACACTACACTATTTACATTACAATATACACTACACTACTATACACTACACCACTATACACAACACTATACACCACACTATGCACAACACTTATATATACTGCACTATCATACAATACACTATACATCACACTACTAGACTATACACTATAATACAATGTACACTACACTACTATACACTACACTATACATTACACTATACCCTACCATACACAACACTACCATGCACTACACTATACACTACACTAAGGTATGCTGCACTATACACTACAGTATTATACACTGCACTACTATACACTACACTATAAATTACACTACTATACACTGCACTATACACTACTATATACTACACTACTATACATTACACTCTACACTACACACCTGTACACTACACTATACATTACACTACTATACTCTAAACTATAGACTACACTACTATACACTGCACTATACACTACACTCTACAGTAATATACACTACACTACTATAAAATTCGCGACTATACACTACACTATTATACACTACACTATAATACACAACACGATACACTACACTATGCAATACACACATGCATACCTCAGCTGTGTCATCGCTGAGCTCCAGGTTCTCGCCAGGACCCATGACCTCTGCCTCGGAAAGATGTGCAGGGAATCCTGGAGGGTAAAAAACTGAAAAAGAAAAAAACTTCATTATCATCAATCTTGATTTGAAGCTTTCGTTTCTGCAGGAATCCATACTCTTTGATTACTTCGGTCCAGTCACGTAGGTAGAAAACAATAGATCACGACGTTTTGATCGCAACACAAGCAACCGTCATCAGTTGGGACAACCACAGCAAGAAGAAAACTGCTGAAGTAGGCGAGAGATCTGCCGTGGCACGAGGTTATATAGGCCTCGGCAGTCGGGGGGGAGAGAGAAGTGGGGGGAGGAGGCGGGGCAGAAAGTGGACCCCCCGGCAGCACCCGGGTCACTGGAGGAGAGATCGGAGAGAGATGCACACAGAGAGACACAGAGAGAAAGACACACAGAGTCGGAAATAACAGCTGACATAGGCAGCTACGATGGAAACATCACAGTCAGTAAACACTTTATCTGGTTAATAACGTCCTTCCAATGATTGCTCAGTTTGTACCCATCTTCTCGGTTGAAGTTGTGTCCATGTTTATATATCTCGATGGCTTCATGATCAAATCTCTGATAATAGCCGGTGGGTTTGCGGAGTACCTTTATCTTGGAAAAGTCAATTTGGTGTGAACCCACAGTGTTAAAACAATGATCAGCAACGTCAGAGGTATTGGTCCTACCGTGTTTCAGATCTGCCTTGTGTTCACGAATGCAGTCTGAGACATGTCGTTTCGTTTCCCCCATGTAACTGCTGACGCAGCCACAACTCAGTTTGTAGACACCCAGGTATTGCATATCAGGAATCACATCCTTTACAGATGGGATCAAATCACGGATTGTGTGTACTGTGTTGAAACGAACATGGATCTTGTGTTTGTTTAAGATTTTGGAAATCTTTTTGGTAACCCCTGCTATGTATGGTAAAGTGATGGTATTGGTTGGATCCTAAGATGGCTGTCTCCATATGGCTGGGGAGACAGCTTTGCGGATTGTACGTTCAGAATATCCGTTCATCCTGAGGGCTTGGTGTACGTGCTCCAGCTCACTGGCTATGTGATGCTGGTCGGAGATGCAACGGGCCCTATGGTGTCGTGTTTTGATTATGAAATTCTTCTGGGCTGGATGGTGGTGGGAGTCAGGCTTTAGATAGACATCATCATCATCATGCTTTTTAATGTTATTTTTAATAATATATAACTCACATCTCCGCATAGACTCAACAATGCCCATAGACTGAGAACTGCACCACAGACTCAGCACTGCCCATAGATTCAACACTTCACTTAAGATTAAACACTGCACTGTAGAATCAACACTGCACCATAGACTCAACACTGCCCATAGACTAAACACTGCTCATAGACTCAACATTGCCCATAGACTCAACACTGCACCATAGACTCAACACTGCCCCATAGACTCAACACTGTACCATAAACTAAACACTGCACCATAGACTCAACACTGCCCATAGACTGAACACTGTACCATAGACTCAACACTGCCCCGTAGACTCAAAACTGCACCATAGACTTAGCACTGCCCCATAGACTCAACACTGTACCATAGACTCAACAATTGTTCCGATCGCCTTAGCTGCGGTTGGAACACATCTGCACAAGCGATGGCGGGATTTAAGCATCCGGAAGGTCACGCAGACCATGCTGTCCTGGACCCTTTAACAGCTGGTGGTGGTGGTGTGGCCATGGTGGGCTTTTAATCGGCGATGTAATTATAGATCTCCTCCCGTGGTTAGCCTAATCCATTGGGCGTCTTAATGCGCACCAAGGCTGTCTCACCTACCTACCCATCCACCCTCCCCGGTTAAGAGTAAAATCCCCAGCGCGTGCCTCCAATTGCATCCAATTGCATCTCCACATCACGCTCGTCCTACAAAGCCAGGGACATCTTCCATGTGTAGTTGTAGTACAAGTCGGAGACGAGGTTGTTTCAGAAGGCACCTTCTTTATCAACACTCTTGAGGTTCAACAGGTTTGTCCTCGTTCCTTCTCGATGTCGTACAGCCCGGCCTAGACTCAACCCTAACCGCGTTACGACGATGTCGACTGAGACAGCCAACAACTCTCCGGGCCGTGCAATTATCGAGTGAAGGCGCGAGCGACGAAGGTGGCGAAGACAGCGATGGCAATATGAGTCCACTCCCAGAACCGGCAGCTCGGATCTCCTGCTCTCTGCTGCTTTTATTCTACTTCTGCACGGCCTGGCTCCGCCCTGGAAGCGCCTACCCTTCTCGAACCCACTAGCGGGTTCCAGGGGGCTTCCCGATGACTTCTTCCGTGACTCTTGCCCCAGTTTCTCCGCCCTGCCGGCACACAGCTATGTATGTGCTCGACGGCGGCGTGTAAGCTAACTGTCCACCGCAGTTGCCGCTGCTGCACAGCAGTCAGCACTGTGTCACTACACATGCAAACTGGGTCCCGCACCAAACGCTGTTGAATTTTAAACTCGTACGGAGATCCATGGGCTCACACAGAGACCCACAGACTCACATGGAGACCAACAGACTCACATCTCCCTCACCCCCCCTGCACCATCAATTAGCTACCGTTGGCTATGTATGGTGCCAAAAGAAGTCCGACATACATACGTACACACACATGTTACATACATGAACGAGTGTCGTTGATCATAATGAATAAAGATTTTTTAAAAAATCACAAGTGAGCTGTGCAGCTGCAGTTCAAATGGATACTCTCCATATTAAGTTGCAATGTTCAGTGCGCACGCTGTGCAAAATGAACACACGTGCACTCGGTAGGGTTGAACGATTTTGGGAAAATATCAAATTGCGATTTTTCTGCCAGATATTGCGATTGCGATTTGATTTGCGATTACATTTTTTTAAGTCAAGCTTCAGTTCAATATTCACTGTGTAATAGATTTAAAACATGCGATGGAGCATTACCACATTATACCATCAAAATATGAACTGCTGTATATATTCTAATGCAAGGATGAGAACTTAAAATATATGAATTGCTTCCAACATGTATTTATTAAAATGTTTTAATTGAAACAGAACAACCAAACATAGAACCATTGTTAAGTTAAATAAAAAGAAAGTTATAATGATAAAAAATGAAACAATTATAATAAGAAAGTAATGGGACTTTTCAAATCGCAAAAAAATCGCAGCCTTTGCGATTTGCTAATTGTTTCAAATTGCGATTTCGATTAAAAAACGATTAGTCGTTCAGCCCTCGAACTCTGATCGAGGTTTCCCTACACCTGTGTACGTACACAGACCAGAACTAATAGACTGTTTTTCTTTTTTCATTTCAGCAGGTAGGGCCTCCCAACTGAGCTATGTAGCTGCTTTTTGTTTGTTCCAGACGTGGGGGCCAGGCTATTACAAATGATAGCAGCTCAACAGAGCGGCTGATATCATCATAATGTGGACATTTAATGCAGCAGAGACATTCAATAAACGCATATTTCTACAGACTCGCCGAGACCCATAGAGACCCACAGAGACCCAGGGACCCAAATAGATCCACGGACACCCTTAGATATCCACAGAGACACATATTCGCAGATATCTACATAGACCCATAGAGGCCCATACTGATCGAGACTCCTACAATTTATTTTTTAAATTACTAGGTAAGGCTTTTTTTCAGAAGCGACCTCTGGCCATCACGAATGATAACAGCTTCAACAAGTGGCTGATATCATCATCATCATGTGGATATTTAAATATTCTCTAAACGTGAGACGTTGCATCTAAATGTAGAGGTAGGGAAAAAACAGGACCTGGAGAAAAATCCAAGCGACCACCACGGGGAGATAAAGAGACACACAGACTTCAAATATACAGCAGAGCCCATGACCTCCTGTATACCAGGCGAGGTAGTTAACATATCCTAGTCACCTTGGGTATTAGGGTCGATATTGAACCCAATACCTCTTGTATACCAGGCGATGTAGTTAAAATCTCCTAGCCACTGTGGCATCAGGGTCTGAATCGAACCAATGACGCCCTGCATTCCAGGAGTGTAGTGTATTGTAGTGTATAGTGTAGTGTATAGTAGTGTATAGTGTTGTGTATAGTGTAGTGTATAGTGCTGCGTATAGTGCAGTGCATAGTAGTGTAGTGCATAGTGTAGTGGATAGTCGTGTAGTGTATAGTGTAGGGAATAGTGTAGCTTATAGTTTAGCGTATAGTGTGGTGTATAATGCAGTGTATAGTGCAGCGTATCGTGTAGTGTACAATAGTTTAGTGTATAGTAGTGTATTGTATAGTGTTGCATATGGTAGTATTTAGTGTAGTATGTGTATGTTGGACTTCTTTCGCACCACCGTACGTAGCCAACAGCGTTAATCGGAGGTGTGGGGGGAAGGGCAACAAACATTAAACTGACAGATGCCAGGATTGCTTTGTCGAGGTGAGATGTTGGAATAAGCGCCTTTGGCCACGATGACATCTTGGCAACACCGCACAATGTCGCGGCTTGTCCCTGTGACTACAATCAAACTGTGCGTACATGTATGGGCTCCACGATGGCTCGGAGATGTTAACTACCTCGCCCGGTACGCAGGAGGTTGTGATTTTAATCCAGAACCTGACACCATGGTGCGCTCGGAGATGTTAACTAAATTGCGAGGTATACAGGAAGTCGTGGGTTCGATCCAGACTCTGACACCACGGTGGATAGGAGATGTTAACTACCTTGCCAGGTGTCCAGGAGGTCGTGATTTTGATCCCGATCCTGACACCCACGGTCGCTTGGAGATGTTAACTACCATGTCTGGTGTATGGGAGGTCGTGGGTTCGATCCATTTTCTGATGCCCATGGTGGCTAGGAGATGTTAACTACCACGTCTGGTGTACAGGAGGTAATGGGTTCGATCCAGACTCTGACACCATGGTGGATAGTTGTTAACTACCTCGCCTGGTATACAGGAGGTCGTGGTTTCGAACCCGACACTGGCAAATGCTGTACATTTGGAGTTTGCTTGTCTTTCTTTCTCTCCCCGTGGTCGCGTGAATTTATCTTCCGGGTCCTCCGGTTTTCCCTCCAAATTTCGAATCCACAACAGGCGTTTAGAGTGTCTGGCTGTTGCTACAAGTGTCCACGTGATGCTGACATCAGCCACGTGATGGTGCTGCTATTAAGTTGTGATGTGCCGGGTGTCTTCTGCAAAAATAGCTGCTCAGTGGAGCCTTACCTGGTGACATAAACACAGCTTAGTTGTAGTATGGATCTCTGTGGGTCTCTGTGAGTGTCTGAGTGTGGGTCTCTAGTGTTCCCTTTGGGTTTCTGTGGGTCTATATGGGTCTCTATGAGTATGCTTCTCTACAAGTATGGATCTCTATGTATCTCTATGGGTCTCTGTGTATCTCTATGCATTTGGAGTATTTGGCTTCTGCTCTACATTCCCTTGTGATGATGATATAAGCCACTTGGTCGAGCTGCTATCAAGTTGTGATAGCCAGGAGGTTGCGTCTGAACAAAGAGCTACGCAGTAGCTCAGTGCGGCTTAACAGCTGGTAAAATAAACATGGTTTAGTTGTTATGGTGATGACGATGATGATGACGATGACGAAGATGATGACGATGTTGATGATGATGATGACGATGATGATGATGAAAATTATGACGATGATAATGACGATGAAGACGATGATGATGACAATGATGACGATACACCTGCCAAAATAAACGTAGTTCGGTTGTAGTTAAAGTACCAAATAGTTATGCCTTTTGCGAGGAGTCTTGGAACGCAACTCCCGTGTTGCATCGACAACAACAAATTTGCATTGTCGTTTTATACTTTGACACTGCTCAAAGGAACTGAGGATGACTGCCAAATTAACCTTATGGCGGGACCCTGGGGTCCCGAATAAACGAAAGTCAAAATCGTAATAAATGAATTGTTTTTTGGTGACTCCGTCACCACTGTGCACATAAACGCCGCGACCCACCAAAAATAAATCCTCTCGTTCTTCACCAAGCACCCGTCGTTGCCAAAATTGCAGTAGTCAGAAACAAAACAAAGAAAATTTGATCGGGGCAATCGTGTAGAGCTCGTCGAGAAGAACAGATCACCGCATCGTTCACCTTCAACGGACATTAAAAATTAACCCGTAAAAACAAAGTTTTTCACTATAAATCCTTTATATGCGTGGCGGCTAGAGTCCTCTCGTCCTCTGGCTTGAGATGGCTGCCACCTATGGGTCAGATGATTGTCTGCCAGTATTAAGCAATTGGTAATTAAATATTTAATTTGTTTTCCCTAAACAGTGTAAAATTTTGGAAAAAGAAATTTCACGAACATTAATTGTCTCGCACAACGAGTCTGTGTGCAAAATGTCAGCTCGATTGGATCACTGGAAGTGGGTTAAAAAACGAACGAAAGATTTGCACGGTCGTAAGCAAGCAAGCACGCAAGCAAGCGAACTTAATATAAAGGATTTAAAAAGACGTCGCAACGCCATGAGGTTCAAATATCTAAAACTCCTCACCTGGAATCGCCGAGATGGCCGGATCTGCCTCCGCCATTGGGTCGCTGTGGGGGCGAGAAGACAGAGATTGGGTGACTCTTTGTTCGTTCGTTTGTCAAGTCGTAACCTTTTAATTATTACACGTTTTTATTTAACTCACTCTGTTGCTGTCATTGTCGTATTCTCAAATATTGTAACTCAATTTTAACCCACTTCCCAATGTGGTATCGACTGCAAACTTGGTATACTTATGTCAATACTGATGACAATACTATATTTTATTTAAAAAAATAGTATTTTTAAACATTCATTTTGATATGTTATGTTTCGGCTTGGGTCTAATTGTCCACGCTCAGCTGACGTTGGCTGTAAATCACCACGGTCCCTTACGTTATGGCAAGCCGCAGGGAATCGTGGAGTTCTGCCATTACCATTAGGGTACATTTCATTAAGGCGTGTTTAACAAAAAGTATTTTTTACACGCTTTTATTTGTATTCGGTCGGCGTTGTCGTTCCTTCGTGAAAACCTCCCGAGACAAAGATCCCCCAGGGTAGCCTCTGGCGGACTGTAGGAGCAACAAGTGCAGTTAGCGAGACGCAGAAGCAGCAGCGGCGCCTATGAAGGCTACAGGCACTGTTGGCAAACAGAGAGGGGAGTGGGTGGCCAGCACCACGTTCGGCCGCCTTTGTCTCCCCAGACACTCACTCACGCACTCACGAAGTCAACCACTCACCTCACTCACTCACACGCTCACCCACACACTCACCCACTCACTCACCCACGTAGTCGCCCACGAACTCACTCAAACACTCACTCAGTCACCCAAACACTCACTCACCCACTCACTCACTCATCCACCCACTCTCTCACCCGCTCACACATCTACACACTCAAACAAAGACAAAAATCCCCCGGGTAGCCTCTGACATACTATGGGGGTAAGGTTCTGTTAATAGCAAATAGTAGCAGCTCCTATGAAGGCACACACAGAATGGGGAGGTGGCCAGCACCACACCCACCTGATCGCCTTTGTCTCTCCCCAGTGACGATGTTCACTATATTCTTGGTTCTTTCGGTAAAGTCACGTAGGTAGAAAAATAATAAAAGTAAATAAATTAAAACAAAAACGTTTCGATCACAACGATCGCTTGTGTTGTGATCGAAACGTCAGTTTTCATTAATTTACTTTGATTATTTTTTTACCTACGTGACTTTCCCGAAAGAACCAAGAATATGAATTCCTGCAGTCACGAAAGTTTTAAGTCACGATGTTCACTGCTTACACACCGCTGTTGATACAGTGGACATTACGTTTGGAATCTCTCACGATCTTGTTCGCACGCAGATGTTTCGTTTTCGTCCAAAGGCCAAATAACTCATTCACCACCGAGCAACTGTGTAGATCTTGTTGGGCGGACCTGGCTATCGTAAATGATAACAGGTCAACCAAGTGGCTGATATCATCATCATCACATGGTCATTATAGCATCAGCCAAATACTCCTGAACGCGTGTTTGTACAGACTCGTGGAGACCCATAGAGACCCACAGAGACTCACAGAGACCCACAGATACCCACAGCGACTCACAGAGACCCACATAGACTCATAGAGACCCACAGAAACCCACAGAAATTCACAGAGACTCACAGAGACCTACATAGACTTACAGCTTACAGAGACCCACAGAAACCTAAAGAGACTCACAGAGACCCACAGACTCCCACAGAGACCCACAGAGACCCACGTCGATTTTACAGACACCCATAGAGACCCACAGAGACTCACAGAGACCCACAGAGACCCACAGATACCCACAGCGACTCACATAGACCCACAGAGACTCATAGAGACCCACAGAGACCCACAAAGACTCATAAAGACCCACAGAGACCCACAAAGACTCACAGAGACTCACATAGATCCACAGAGACTCACAGAGACCCACAGACACCCACGGAGACCCACAGAGACCCACATAGATTTACAGACACCCATAGAGATCCACAGAGATCCATACTCATAGAGAACCATTATGAAACTAAACTAGTTTTTATTATTATTTTACCAGGTATGGCACCATTGAGCTGAGCAGCTATTTGTTCAGAAGGGACCTGGCCATGACAGATCACAGAAGCTTAACCAAGTGACTCTATCATCATCATCATCATCACTGTGTGGGCATTTATGGCAGCAGTCATCTTTCTACAGACTCACAGAGACCCATAGAGAACGACAGAGACTCACCGAGACCCAGAGAAAAAAATAGATCCACAGGACACCCAGTGCTGGATTATCCTAGTAGCAAAAGTAGCTACATTCGTAGCTACGGGCCCCGCACTTGCAAGGGCTCCACGCAAAATGCTTTCAAGCTATCAATTCCGGTTCAGCTGATTCTGCATTTGCTATATTACTATCGTACTATACTGGACTTCAACTTATATGAACGAATTTGTGTATAAGGTTAGCGATTTGTCGTATTATCTGGCTGTATAGAAAATGAAAAAATACAATTACTTTACTATGCAAGTAAAAAAATCGTGTGTTTTACTATTTATGTTTTTTTATTATTATTTAGGGCCCCTTGAAACATATGCTACAGGCCCCGCACTAGCTTAATCCGGCACTGCAGACACCCATAGAGACGCACAGAGACCCATACTCATAGAGGCCTACATAGACCCAGAGAGACCCAAACTCATAGAGACCCCTACTAAAACTAAACTAGGTTCATTTGACCAGGTGTAAGGCCTCACTGAGCTGTGTAACTATTTTTGAGTAAGCGGACCTGGAGGTCACAACATGATAGCAGACCAACCAAGTGGCTGATATATTCATCGTCATCATCATGTGGAAATTCGTAGTCGCAGCCAAATACACTTAACGCATCTGTCTACAGACTCGCAGAGACGCGTGGAGACCCACAACAACCCAACTAGATCCACTGACACCCATAGAGAACCCACAAAGACCCAAATAGCTCCACTGACACCCAGAGAGACCCACAGAGCCCCATAGACCTACAGACACCGATTGCGACCCACAAAGACCCAAAATAGATCCACTGACACCCAGAGAGACCCACAGAGGCCCACAAAGATTCCAAGACACCCATAGAAACCCAGACATACCCCAATAGATCCACATACACCCATCGAAAACCCACAGAGACCCAGAGACCCTCAGACACCGATTGCGACCCACAACGACACAAATAAATCCACCGACACCCATAGACACCAACAGAGTGACATACCCATAGTGAACTACATAGACCTACTGACACGCGTAGAGACCCATAGAGACCCATACTCATAGAGATCCATACTAAAATTAAACGATATTATTGTACCAGATTAGGCTCCCCTGAGCTATGTACTTCTCTGTCAGAAGCGACCTGGCCATCACAAATGATATCAGCTCAAACGAGTGTCTGATATCATAATCGTCATCATCGCGTAGGATATGTATAGCATCAGCCAATTAACTCTAAACGCACGAGGTTGATTATAAATGTGGAGGGGGAAATCCGAGGACCTGGAGAAAATTCCATGTGAACCGAGGAGACAGACAGTCACGCAGACTCCAATTTTACTGCAGACGTAAGGGTCGGGATTTAATCCACGTACTCCAGTATATCAGGCAAGGTAGCTACCATCTCCTTTCCAGCGTAGGAGTCAGGGTCCAGGATCGAACCCACGACCTCCTGTACACTAAACGAGGTAACTAACATCTAGAAACCGTGGTGCCATGGTCCGGATCGAACTCACGACCTCCTGTATACCAGGCAAGGTAGCTAACATGTAGCCACAGTGGACATCAGGTTCCGGGATCAAATCCACGACCTCCTGTATACCAGGCGAGGTGACTAACATCTCATAGCCTTCGTGGCATTCAATGTTTGCGCAGAATGGGTTCACATATTTACGTGAAGTCCTATTTCCAATAATAACAATAATGATACCCTTTGGGTCTTTCGGTGAAGTCACGTAGATAAAAAAATAATAGATCACGACGTTTCGATCGAAACACAGGTGAGAGCTCACCTGAAGACGTTTGAATTCCTGCAGTCACGAAAGCTTTAAATCAAGATTTAACAATAATAATCAATCCACCATCGCGTTTTTAGTTTAAAGCACGTAGGCTTTTTCCGTCAAATAATTCTACACTTAAACCACAATATATAATGTTTGGGCCTTACATCGAGTAAATACGAAAAGGAGTACAAAGTGATTACAAAACAATTCGGTAATATAATTTTTTTTCGGTTAGATTGCATAAGTAAAAAATTGTGTTGGTAAACCCGCGACCACCCGACACAGCCAATTAGTAAGGTTTAGTGTCACGTAAACAGAACATGCCAATTCCTTACTCGCACAGCACACACCGGCGTGTTGGAAATCAAATCCACAATATTTACGATCTGAGTACGACGTTTCACCAGTAATTACGACCGGCAGGTCGCGAAAGCCTACGTGTGAACAAAACAATTGGAGTTATATTGCGAATACCCACACACTCACCCACTCACTCACCCACTCACTCACCCACTCTCTCACCCACCCACCCAACCACTCACTCACCCACTCACTCGCTCACTCGCTCACTCACCCACGCACCCATCCAATCACTCAGCCACTCACTCACCCACGCACCCACCCAACACTCACCAACTCACTCACTTAACCACCCATCCAATCACTCACACACTCACTCGTTCACTCACCCGCCCATTCACTCTTTCACCCACTCACTCACTCGCTCACTCACTGGCTCACTCACCGCTCATTCCCTCACTCACCTACCCACCCATTCACCCACTCCCATACCTGTTAACCCCATTATCAGAGCCCTACCTTATTACAGACCAACTCAGACCCCATTGGTCACCCCGTGTCCCTTATACATCTCAACGTTTATCCTACAAAGTCCCATCACAAGGGAGAAATACGCATAAAAAGGCAATACTAGTTTTTGTGCCCGTACTGAAACGGCTGTCCGCCCTATGGACCTGGAAACTCCGTACAAGGGGTAAACCGTATTGGTTGACCCGGTATGGAGAGAGATAGAGAGAGACAGGGAGAGAGATAAAGAGTGCTGGAAAGATAGAGAGAAAGAGAAAGATTAGGGAGATAGAGAGAGACAGATCTAGAGAGATAGAGAGATACCTTATCGGTGGCTATCTAATACGGGGTAAACCGTATGGGTTACAGGTATGGAGAGAGAAAGAGAGAGACACAGGGAAAGAGAGATAGTGATAGAGAGAGTTGGAGAAAGATGGAGGGATATAGATAGAGAGAGACACACTCACAGAGACCCTTATCAGTGCCTACCCAATACGGGTAAACCTGTAGGGTTTAACAGCGACGGCATTGATGCTGCCCAACATACCTCACCCCCCTCCGCCCCTCGAATGTGTCGTCAGAAATCCGGTGGGACGCGTGGATCTCCCAAAGACGTTGCCGTTCGGCGGCCGGTGTCGTGGAGGCAAAAAAAAAACTTGACTCGTGAACGCTCGCTCGTCGATCAATCTCTCTGTATCTCTCTTTCTCTGGCTCAGCCGAATCGCGCCAGGGGTGACAGACTTGTACATTTCCTGCGGTGCCAGGGAGGATCTGCCCCACCAGTACTTACGCTGCCAGCGGCTCAAACTAATGTTCCGCCTTTTGGGGGACATCTTCAGGAAACTGGGGGTACCCTTCTACAACAGAAGCTTCGTATATGGGGGGCGCCTTACCTGGCTAACAAGCGCCATGACCTCGCCATCTTTGCCTGTACTCAGGCGAAGATGGCGGTGTACAGAACGAGAAAAAAGATGCTGGAAGGTGACACTGACGGCTGCTCCGTGCTTCCAGTGTTCAGAGGCCTGCTTAAGGCGCGGCTCCGGCTGGAGCACGCATACCACACACACGTTCGGTGATGTGCACGTCTTCTTCAAACGCTGGGGAGCCGGAAAAGCCCTCTGTACCAGCGTTGACGGCACCCTCATATTCACCTTCTGAAGTGCTCGCTCGTCACCGTGGCCTGCGCGATGACCACCACCACATGGCTTTTCTTTCGTGTTGTGCGCCGTGCATTTAGCGCCACAACACGTGGATTTATAGCGTTTATTCGTTTGTTTGCTGGTGACTTTGTGTATTTCATATCGGAATCGCCTCCAGTGTTGTTGCTGCTGGCGGAAATAAAAGTGGTTTAAAAGTCAAAAGTGTGTCTCTCTCTGTCTCTCTCTCTGCCTCTCTCTCTGCCTCTCTCTGACTCTTTCTTTATCTCTCTCTATGTCTCTCTCTCTATGTCTCCCTGTGTCTGCGTCTCTCTCTCCGTGTCCCTCTCTGTCTCTCTCTGTCTCACTCACTCTGTATCTCACCTAGTCACTCACTCCCTCTGTCTCTCGCTCACTCACTCTGTCCGTCTCTCGCTCACCCCATTCACTCGAGCCACGCATGTGCGTTGATCGGTTACCTCGAGTCCGATGTCTCTTCCCCTTCGATTCTCTGTGAGGGGGTAGGGAGGAGAAAGCAGGGAGACCGGGCGAACACGCACGGACATCAAGGGACCGCCATCAGAGATGTCACTCACTCACTCAGCGGCGCACGCATTCATTTGGTTTGAAAGGGTTGGTGGCAGTGGTGACACTAGGCGGTGAGATGTTAGCTACATTGTGTATACTGGGCGAGGTAGTTAACATCTCCCAGCCAACCTTTCCCTCCCATCCACACACCCACACACCCAACCGCTCTCTCACCCAACCGCTCACCCACCCACCCACTCACACACCCACCCACTCACACACCCACACACCCAACCACCCACACACACAACCACTCACTCACCCAACCACCCACTCACCCACCCACTTACACACCCACCCACTTACATACCCACTCAATCATTCACCCACTCAATCACTCACCCACTCACTCACAAACCCACCCACCCACTCACACACCCACCCACTTACACACTCACCTACTTACACACCCACACACCCAATCACTCACCCAACCACCCACCCACACACCCACTCTCACGCACCCACCCACTTACACACTTACTCAACCCACTCACTCACAAACCCATTCACTCACCCACCCACTCACACACCCATACACATACACACCCACACACCCAATCACTCACCCACCCAATCACCCATCCACACACCCACTCTCACCCACCCACTTACACACCCACCCAATCACTCACCCAACAACAACAACCGTCATTCGCCACTAAGTGGCGGTGACATCACCACGACGCTTGTTCCAGGCCATGTACACCTTGAGGCCACGTGAATTGTCGAACGCCCGCTGGCAGGAGGTCACGGGGCAGACCCAGGTGCCACGGGTCGACTGACCGAGATGACCGAGATGACTGGCTGATGCACCACCTGTGCCCCCTACTGTACCAACTTGCTGTGCTTTAGCCACCAGGCGCTCCGCTCGTTGTTGTGAGCGTCGCTCCTCCGCCCTCCGTTGTTGTTGGAGGGCGACTGCCTCCAACTGCCCAGTAGCGTCCTTCACGAGCCTCCTCCACAGAGGCCGATCTTGACACCGCTGGTACCAGTCATCGGCAAGTCCACTCAGCTCCACGTCTTCCTGTACCACATCACTCCATCTCTTCTCTAGCCCGTGCCGCCCCCGTTTAGCCCCCTCGATCCGGCCGAACAAAAGCTGTTTAGGTATATGGTGGCTGGGCATGCGGGCTACATGACCCAGCCAACGCAGACTTGCCTGCTGGAGGAGCTCACTGATGGGACTTTGTCCAGATCTTTCAAGGATTTGTGAGCTTCTCACACAATCCAGCCTGGTTAAACCCAGGATGGATCTTAGACAGGCCAGCCTAAATGTTTCAAACCGGCAAAGATGCTCCATTAGGGGGGTCCACGTTTCGCAAGCGTAGAGAAGGGAGAGAATGACTGTGGCCGAGAAGACCTGAAGCTTCCTACGGAGCGACAGACCAGGTAGCTTCTACACAGCGTTACGCAACCGATTAAAATATATTGCCGCTCGACTGATTCTGAGTGAGACCTCTGCTGTCAAACCGGAGCCAGTCATGAGCACACTGCCCAGGTATGGGAAACTCTACACTCTCTCCACAACTGCCCCATCACCGATTGGGAGTAGTGTGGGTGGAGTGTCCGATGGTACAAAATACCCACGCAGGTGCTTAGTTTTGGTGGGGCTGATGGTAAGGCCCCACCTCTTAGTGAAACGCTCCAGTCTCAGCAGCAGTGTCTCCAACTCCTCCTCTGAATGAGCAGCTATTACCAAATCATCGGTATACATAACGTGGTTGACCAATAGGGAGCCATCCCATGATCGCACCCGGGCATCGATCAGCCTCCCATTATATCTGTACCAAATGGAAATTCCCCTGGTACACTCACACACCCACCCATGCACACACCCACACACCCACCCATGCACACACCCACACACCCAATCACTCACTCACCCAACCACCCACCCTACTTACACACTCACTCAATCACTCACCCACTCACTCATCCACCCACCCAGACACCCATCCACTTAAACACCCACACACCCACCCACCACATCCATCAACTCACCCACACACCCACTCTCAAACCCAATACCAATTGGGGCCATTCATTTAGTACGTACGCATGGAGAGGGGAGGGGGGGTTAACCCAAATGTGTACGCTTGCATATGGGGGGTCAACTGACAATGTACCTACGTATAGGAAATGAGGGGGGGGGTGAAGCCTCCATATAATTTGTCTACATTGGCCTTCAAATTAGTTAGATAGTCCGGCGGTTGACTGTTTGCTTAAACACATTAATATTATTAATCCTTGATCAATTGTTTCTGCGTGGATTAAATATCAGCCGTTCTATATTATTCGGGGGGGGGGGGGTGCGTGAAGCGTGCGTACGCAGGTGGGGGGGGGGTGTTAAAAGTACGCGTGCGTACAGGGAGGAAGGGAGGGATCAAGTTGACAGATTTTTGCGTACGCACTAAATGGATGGCCCCATTCCCACCATTCGCCAATAAGTGCAGCTGACGTCACCACGGCGTCTGTTTAAGGCCAGGTGCACTTTCAAGCCATGCAAAAAGTCGAAGGCTCGCTGAATAGGTATCGGGGCAGAACCAGGTGCCATGGGTTGACCGACCGAGATGACCGGTAGATGCACCACCACCTTCTGTACCCCCTACGGTGTCAGCTTGCTGCATTTTAGTCGCCTGGCCCTCCGCTTGTAGAGGTCGATCTTGACACCACTGGTACTGGTCGTCGGCAAGTCCACTCAGCTCTACATCCTCTCGTGCCGAATCAGCTCCATCTCTTCTCCAGCCCACGTGGTGACCCGTTTAGACCCCCTCTATGTGGCCAAACAGAAGCTAGTTGGGCATGCGGGCTACGTGACCCAGCCAACGCAGCCTTGACTGCCGGAGGAGCTCACCGATGGGACTTTGCCCAGATCTTTCAAGGATTTGTGAGCTCCTCACACAATCCAGCCTGGTTAAACCCAGGATCGATCATAGGCAGGCCAGCCTAAATGTTTGTAGCCAGCGTAGATGTTAAATTAATGGGGTACACCTAAATAGTAAACCACACACTCACTTACCTACAACCACCCACTCACTCACCCATCCGCCCATTTACCCACTCACCCACCTACCAACTCACTTACTCACCCACCCACTCACTTATCCACCCACTCACTCACCCACACCCACCCACCCACTGACTCACTCGCACACCCACCCACTCACCCACACACTCACTCAGCCACTCACCCATTCACTCAATCACTCACCCACCTACCCACTCACTCACCCATCCACTCACTCACTCACCAACTCACTCACTCACCCACTCACTCATCCACCCACCCACCCACTCACTCATGCACCCACCCAGTCACTCACCCACCCACCCAACCACCCACCCACACAACCACCCACCCACCCACGCGGCCCACCCACCCTGACGACGAGTCCGCGGTGTTCATCCGAGCGGCTCAACTCCTCTCCGATGGCGAAGGGCGACGCCTCTCCAGACTGGCAGCGAGCCATCAGCTGCTGGAAGTCGGAGCGCGTAGGAGGGCGCTCCAAGAAGACTCGGTGAGCCTCCCACACAACCTCCTGGCATACTGCGGGGTGAGAGAGAGAGACATTGGGAGCCAGATAGCCATGGGTGAGAACGAGTCTGAGGGGAGAAAGAGCCATCGGGAGCCAGAGAATCAATGGAGAGAGAGAGTCAGAGGGGAGAGAGAGAGACAGGGGAGAGTGTGACAGTGGAGAGAGAGAGAGAGACAGGGGAGAGTGTGACAGATAAAGAGAGATGACAAGCGAGAGAGGGGGGAGCAAGACAGGGGAGAGAGACAGGGATAGAGATTCAGGGAAGAGAGAAACAGGAAGACAGAGAGACACGGCGAGAGAGACAGGATAGAGAGACTCACACCCGGCGCTGCCGCTCGTTGTTGTGAGCGTCGCTCTTCTGGCCTCCGTTGTTGATGGAGGGCGAACTGCCTCCAACTGCCCAGTAGCGTCTTTCACGAGCCTCCTCCACAGAGGCCGATCTTGACACCGCTGGTACCAGTGATTGGCAAGTCCACTCAGCTCCAATCCTCCTGTACCGCATCACACTATCTCTTCTCTAACCTGAGCCGTGCCCGTTTTGCCCTCTCGATCCGGCCAAACAAAAGCTGTTTAGGCATGCGGTGGCTGGGCATGCGGGACACATGACCCAGCCAACGCAGCCTTGCCTGCCTGGAGGAGCTCAACGATGGGACTTTGTCCAGATCTTTCAAGGATTTGTGAGCTCCTCACACAATCCAGCTTGGTTAAACCCAGGATCGATCTTAGACATGCCAGCCTTAATGTTTCTAACTGGTGAAGATGTTCAATTAGGAGGGTCCATGTTTCGCAAGCGTAGAGAAGGGAGGGAATGACTGTGGCCGAGAAGACTTGAAGCGTCGTGCGGAGTTACAGACCAGGTATCTTCCACACAGCGTTACACAACTGATGAAAAGATAATGCCGCTCGACTGATGCGGAGTCACACCTCTGCTGTCAAACCGGAGCCGGTCATGAGCACACTGCCCACGTATGGGAAACTCTCCATTCTCTAAACAACTGCCCCATAAAAAAATAGGAGTTGATGGTTTCAAAATACCCTGCAGGTGCTTAGTTTTGGTGGGGCTGATGGTAAGGCCCCACCGCTTAGTGGCAAGTTCCAGGTTCAGCAGCAGCACCTTCTGACTCCTCCTCTGAGTGAGTAGCAATTACCAGATCATCGGCATACATAATGTGGTTAACCAATAGGGAGCCATCCCTTGACCGTACCCGGGAATCGATCAGCCTCCCGTTGTATCTGTACCAGATTGAAATTCCTCTGGCACAGCCATCGAAGGCTTCATGTACTATGTGGTCGAAAAATATGTTAAAATATGTGGGAGCCAGAGGATATCCCTGTCGCACACACACAAACACATAGATAGATACACACACAAACACACATACACACACATGATACATACATACACACATACATACACATACATATACACATAAACATATGCACATAAACATACACACATAATACACACATACATACACACATACACACACATATACACACATTTACATTTACACACACACACATACACACACATATACACACACGTACAGACACAGATACACGCACACAAAAACATGCACAAATGCACACACACAAAAATACCCATACATGCACATATGCACACACACACACGCCCTCCCCACCCTCACCTCTGAGCCTGTAGAAGCTCAGGTAGCTGGCAACCACCTTGTCCACGGACTCCTGTGAGCAGATCTTCACTCCGTCGGGAAAGAGCGCCGAGCGCCTCGAGCGTGAGGCGAGCACGCGGGGAGTGATGGTGGGCCAATGTGGTCGAGGTCGTCGTCGAAGTGTCGGTGTCGGTGGTCGTAGTGGTTGTGGCGGTGGAGGGAATGGCTCTGGGATCGACTCACCAGACCCCCCGTCGCCCCCCGGCCAGTCCAGCGAAGACACCAGGAGGTCTGGGTCGGAGGCCCGGACCGTCCCTGGAGGAGGAAGAAGACGAAGCTCGGGGTTCGGGGGTCGATGTCTATGAACAGCACAGTTGTGGATACGGCCATGTGCTCACCACATGCCAATTTTCTCCCTGGGTGAGACTAGGCCGTAAAGCAGGCTATTGTCTCTGAGTGTAAAGAAGGCCATTGTATCTGGATATAAAGAAGGCCATTTTCTCTGTATGTAAAGAAGGCCATTGTCTCTGTATATAAAGAAGGCCATTGTCTCTGAGTGTAAAGAAGGCAATTGTCTCTGCGTGTAAAGAAGGCTATTGTCTCCGTATGTGAAGAAGGCCATTGTCTCTGCGTGTAAAGAAGGCCATTGTCTCTGAGTGTAAAGATTGCCATTGTATCTGAGTGGAAAGAAGGCCATTGTCTCTCAATGTAAAGAAGGCCATTGTCTCTGAGTGGAAAGAAGGCCATTGTCTCTCAATGTAAAGAAGGCCATTGTCTCTCAGTGTAAAGATGGCCATTGTATCTGGATATAAAGAAGGCCATTGTCTCTGGGTGTAAAGAAGGCCATTGTCTCTGAGTGTAAAGAAGGCCATTGTCTCTGTGTGTAAAGAAGGCTATTGTCTCTGAGTGTAAAGAAGGCCATTGTCTCTGTGTGTAAAGAAGGCCATTGTCTCTCAGTGTAAAGAAGGCCATTTTCTCTGGATATAAAGAAGGCCATTGTCTCTGAGTGTAAAGAAGGCCATTGTCTCTGTGTGTAAAGAAGGCTATTGTCTCTGAGTGTAAAGAAGGCCATTGTCTCTGTGTGTAAAGAAGGCCATTGTCTCTCAGTGTAAAGAAGGCCATTGTCTCTGGATATAAAGAAGGCCATTGTCTCTGAGTGTAAAGAAGGCCATTGTCTCTGTGTGTAAAGAAGGCTATTGTCTCTGAGTGTAAAGAAGGCCATTGTCTCTGTGTGTAAAGAAGGCCATTGTCTCTCAGTGTAAAGAAGGCCATTGTCTCTGGATATAAAGAAGGCCATTGTCTCTGAGTGTAAAGAAGGCCATTGTCTCTGCGTGTAAAGAAGGCCATTGTCTCTGTATGTGAAGAAGGCCACACTCACCCACACTGACTCACACACTCACACACTCACTCTCTATCTCTCCCACACTCACTCACACACTCAAACTCACCCACACTCACTCACTATCTATCTCTCTCACACTCACCCACACTCACTCACACGCCCACACTCACTCACACACTCACTCACACACTCACACTCACTCACACACTCACTCACACACTAACACACTCACTCACACACTCACATTATATCTCTTTCTCACACACTCACTCACACACTCACTCACAAACTTTATCTCTCATTCTCACACACACAGCCGTGGGATGGCTGGCTGCTTTAGAAGTTATTAATCAGGTTGGATGCCAACTTTCTTCCCCCACCATCGCCCCACCCCATTTGGGGATAGTTGGGGAGCCCTCCTAATGAAACCCTCCTAATGACGACTTCCCTCGGCACAATGGGGGCTTATTGTGAGCGTTTACTGGGGCAGCCAAATCATCATCATCATCAACATAATTATCAGCATCATCATCAGCCTCAGCGTCAACAATATATCAGCAGCAGTATTCTCATATTATTATTCCATTTCATTTGGTAAAATGAACACAATAACAATACGGCTTTTGGGTGACCCTGTATAATAATACCCCGATGTGTCCAGAGTTTTGGGCCACCCTATATCATTACTTTTTGGTTCTTTCGGTAAAGTCACGTAGAAAGAAAATAAATTAAATAATAGAATACGACGTTTCGATTGCAACACAAGCACATTTGAGAGAGAGAGACACACTGTGTGTCTCTGTGTGTGTCTCTCTCTGCTTGTGTGTCTGTCTGTGTGTCTCCGTGTCTGTGTTTTGTCTCTCTCTGAAATTTAGTTCTACCTGATGACGACTGCTCGTGTTGCAATCGAAACGTCGTATTCTATAATTAAAAAAAAAAATTCTACGTGACATTACCGAAAGAACCAAAGAGTAATTCCTGCAGTCACGAAGGCTTCAAATCATCCTTGTATAACAATAATAGCCCTCTGTGTCTTGAATTGTTATACAGGGTGGTCCACAAGTCAGTACACGTAGGGGCATTATTGTTATAGAAGGCGATGATGATGATTACATTGAGAGACAGAGGTAAAGATATCATCATCATCATCGCCACATCGATCTCCATCCAGCAGTAGATAAATTATGGTGAGGATTAGATAGACACAGAGAGAGACGTGGTTTAGAGAGGACACGCAAGTTAGAGACATCATCATCATCATCATCGCCATCATCACCGCCTCGATCTCCATCCAGTAATAAAGAGACCTTGGTGATTGTGATCGCACTGAGAGGCAGAGAGCTCGAGACATCATCATCACATTCGTCTCCATCAAGCCGTGATAGACGTTGGTGATAACAGAGAGACAGAGATAGATGCATTATCATCACGATCATTGTGATTTCCTTCCATCAGTGCATATGCAATGCCGGTGGTGGCTGTCTCCAGCAACTCACCCACAGGTCCAACGTGGCTCGAACCCATCACCACCATCACCACCACCATCACCACCATCATCATCACTCTCGCGAGGATGGGAGTCATTGCCATCACCGTCATCATCACCGCCGTCCCAGTGGCAGGGGAACTCGACAGCTGAGTCGGGAGACGTGAACAGTGGGATGTGGGGAGAAGCGGTGAGATGAATGGTGGGAGGAGTGGGGGGTGTGGGGGAATGGATTGTCAAGCACGCGCGCACACACACGCACACACACGCACACAGAGACACATACACACAGATACAGACGCACACACACACACAGAGACACGTACACACAGACAGACACACGTACAAAATACAAAGATGCCCCTGTAAAGCTTGAACAGACTGTTGGGGCAAGTGCTGTTAGCGTGTATCACCTATGAAGGCCGGCACAGCACACGAGGGGGTGGGTGGTCAGCACCACGCCCAGCCGCCTTTGTCTCCCCAGTGGCGATGTTTTTACGCACAACACCAGGTACTCATTTGGGGCTGAGTCTACCTAGGGGAGGCCCAGGACTCGTTCAGATAATCGTCACTTATTTTGGCCGTGAGCGGGAATCGAACTCGGGTGGCCGGGTCCGTATCGCAGCGCGCTAGCCACTACACTACTACTCACCCATACACATACTCACCCACACACACACTCACCCACACTCACCCACACACTCACCCACACACAGTCACCCACACACAGTCACACACTCACCCACATACACACACACCAACACACCCACACACACTCACCCACCACACACACTCACCCACACACACATACACACTCACTCACCAACACACAGTCACTCACACCCCCAGCTGTGTGCTCAGGCAGGAGTGGATTATAGACTTCTCCGGCTAATTCCCCCGGCACTCAATCAATGGGGATGCACAGCGGGCGGACGAGGAGGGTGGGTGGGTGAGTGGGTGAGTGGGTGAGTGGGTGAGTGGATGAGTGAGTGGTTGGGTGAGTTGGTGAGTGGGTGGTTGGGCGGGTGAGTGGTTAGGTGAGTTGGTGGTTTGGGTGAGTGGATGAGTGGGTGGTTGGTGAGTGAGTGGTTGGGTGAGTGGGCGCATGGATGGTTGGGTGAGTGGGTGGTTGGGTGAGTACGTGAGAGGTTGGATGGGTGAGTGTGTGAGTGAGTGGTTAGGTTAGTTGGTGAGTGGTCGGGTAGTCAGGTGAGTGGATGAGTGTTTGAATGCCTGAAACAGTGAGATGGTGAGTGAGTGAGTGGGTGAATGTTTGAGTAAGTGCGTGGGTGAGCGAGTGGGTGAATTAGTGAGGTGAGTGAATGGGTGGTTGAGTGGTTAGGTGAGTGGTTAGGTGGGATGGTGGTTAGGTGAGTGGGTGGTTGGGCGAGTGGTTGATTGGGTGAGTGGTTGATTGGGTGCTTGGTTGAGTGGGTGGGTGAACGGGTGAGTTGGTCATTACGTGGGTGAGTGGTTAGGTAAGTGGGTTAGGGGGTGGTTCGGTGAGTGGTTTGGTGGTTAGGTGAGTGGGTGTGTGGTTGCGTGAGTGGGGGTTGGGTGAGTGGGTTATTTTAGTGAGTTAGTGGTTGGGTGAGTGGGGGTTGGGTGAGTGAGTGAGTGAGCGGTTGGATGAGTTGGTGGTGGGGTGAGTGGGTGAGTGGTTAGCTGAGTGTGTGAGCGAGTGGTTGGGTTAGTTGGTGTCGGTGAGTGAGTGGGTGATTAAGTGAGTGGATAATTAGCTGAGTGTTTGAGTGAATGGGTGATGAGTGGGTGAGCGAGTGGTTGGGGGAGTTGGTAGTTTGGTGAGTGAGTGGTTGGGTGATTGGGTGAGTGATTGGTTAGGTAGGTGGGTGCTTGGTCGTGTAGTTAGGTGACTGGATCAGTGTGTGAGTGAGTTCGTGGGTGAGTTGTGTGGTGAGTAATTAGTGAGTAGGTGAGTGAGTGAGTGGGTGAGTGAGTGTGTGGGTGATTGATTAAGTGGGTGAGTGAGTGAGTGTATGATTGAGTGTATGTATGTATGAGTGAGTAGGGTGAGTGAGTGGCTGGGTGGGTGAGTATAGTATTGAGTCTATGTATGTATGAGTGAGTGTATAAGCGAGTGAGTGGATGAGAGAGTCTGTGAGTGAGTGAGTGTATGGGTGAGTAAGTGGGTGAGTGGCTGGGTGGGTGACTGAGTGGATGAGTGCGTGAGTGGGTGTGTGGGTGAGTGCGTTGGTGAGTGATTCGCTGGGTGGGTGAGTGAGTGGGTGGCTGGGTGATTGAGCAAGTGGCTGAGTCAGTGAGTATATGAGTGAGTATATGAGCGAGTGAGTGGGGTAGAGAGTGTGTTGGTGTGTGGGTGAGTGAGTGGGTGAGTGGCTGGGTGGGTGAGTGAGTTGGTGAGATATTGGGTGAGTGATTGGATGAGTGCGTGAGTGGGTGTGTGGGAGATGAGTGAGTTGGTGATTGAGTGGCTGGGTGGGTGAGTGAGGGGGTGGCTGAGTCAGTGAGTGTATGAGTGAGTGTATGAGCGAATGAGTGGCTGAGAGAGTGTGTGAGTGAGTGTATGAGTGAGTGAGTAGGTGAGTGAGTGGCTGGGTAAGTGAGTGAGTGTATTATTGAGTGTATGTTTGAGTGAGTGTATGAGCGAGTGAGCGGGTGAGAGAGAGTATGTTGTTGTGTGGGTGAGTGGTTGAGTGGGAAGACAAAGGCGACCGGGCAAAATGTGGTGCTGGCCGCCCACTCCCTCTGTGTGTGCCACAGAGCCATGCTTCATAGGCGCTACCACTTCTCGCTTCGTACAACACTTGCACCTACGGTCTGTTAGATCATTACGATACACACGGTTCTAAACCTTGTGTAGTGTATCGTGTAGTATTTAGTTTATTGTATAGTGAAGTGTGCAGTAGTGTATAGTAGTGTAGTGTATAATGTACTGTATAGTGTATAATGTTGTAGTGTATAGTGTAGTTTGTACTTTCTTGTGAAGTGTAGTGTATTGTGTAGTGTAGTGTTTAGTCGTGTAATGTATTGTATTTTAATGTATATAATGGTGCATAGTGTAAAATATAGTATAGGGTATATTAGTGTATTCTATACTTGGCAGTGTATAGTATTGCAGTGTATAGTGTAATGTGTAGCAGTGTAGTGGATAGTAGTGTCTCGTATAGTAGTGTAGTCTATAGTGTAGTGTATAATAGTGTAGTGCATAATGTAGTGTTCAGTATAGTGTATATTAGTGCAGTGTATAGTGCAGTGTATAGTAGTTTACTGTATAGTAGTGTAGTCAATGGTAGTGTAGTGTAATGTAGTGTATAGTGTGGTATACAGTGGTGTAGTGTATAGTGTAGTGTATAGCAGTGTAGTGTATACTGTTGTGTATAGTAGTGTAGTGTATGGTGTATTATGAGTGTAGAGTTTAGTATATTATAGTCTAGTGTATAGCGTAGTGTACAGTCTATAGCAGTGTAGTGTATAGTAGTGTAGTGTATAGTGTAGTGTATATTAGTGTAGAGTTTAGTATATTGTAGTCTAGTGTATAGTGTAGTTTACAGTCTATAGTAGTGCAGTCTATTGAATAACCCCCCCCCCCCCCCGGATAAAGAGAAGCCACTGCTTTAGAGGATACACCAAAGGGAGGTTTCGAACTTGGGAATGGAATGAGGCGTCACGTGGAGGAGTGGAGGTGGGGGTGGTCACTAATCCTTTAACAGGCTCACAGACCTGTAGGGTGATGTGGGGTGAGATCGTGGGTGAGTGAGTGAGTTGATAGGTGGCTGAGTGGGTGGGTGAGTAAGTTGATGGGTAATCAGGTAGGTGGGTGGGTAAGTGAGTGGGTGAGTAAGTGAGTGGGTGAGTGTATGGGTGAGTGGGTGAGTGGGTGGGTGGATCGGTGAGTGGGTGAGTGAATGGGTTGGTAAGTGAGTGGATGGGTGAGTATTTGGTTGGGTAGTTGGGTGGATGGTTGGGTGGATGGTTGGGTGGGTGGGTGGATGGTTGGGTGGGTGGGTGGTTGGGTGGGTGAGTGGGTGGGTGGGTGGGTGAGTGAATTGGTGAGCAGGTGAGTGGGATATTGGCTGGATGGGTGGGTGTGTGGGTGAGTGAGTGGAAGGGAGGGTGAGTGAGTGGGTGGGTGGTTGGGTGAGTGAGTTAGTGGCTGGGTGTGTGGGTGAGGGAGTCCGTTATTAGGTGTGTGGGTGGGTAAATGACTGGGCGAGTGTGTGGGTGAGTGAATGGGTTGGCGAGTGAACGGGTGAGTGAGTGTTTGAGTGCGTGGTTGGGTGCTTGGGTTTGTGGGTGGGTGAGTGAGTTAGTAGCTGGGTGTGTAGGTGATTGAGTGGGTGAGTGGGTGTGTGGGTGGGTGAGTGGGTGTGTGGGTGGGTGAGTGGGTGAGTGAGTGGGTGTTTGCGTGCGTGTGTCGTGGCTAATGGGTCGCAACGTTCGACGCGCAGAGGGCAATCCGATTAGATTAGGGGGGTGTTTGCCTAATGCGGACGATTTTTAAAAGTCCCTTCAACATCTGTCTCACGGCATGACTCAGAGAAAAAACTGAAGACTCCTTTGGTCCATATACAGACGTCACCTCTCTCTCTCTCTGTCTGTGTATGTCTCTCAAATAAATAAACACAACGAACGGATGTGTAGAGACGCCATTCAAATAGCCATTACTTTGTTCCCGCTAGTGATGTTTGTCAGATTGTTGAGCTGTTATCGAAGGTGTATGTTTGTGAGTGTGTGTATGTATGTCTCTGTATGTTTGTATGTGTGTACGTGTGTGTGTGCGTGTGTGTGTGTATATGTTGGGGAGCGGTAGCGTAGCAGTTAGCGTGCTGCACTTCGAACCTGGCGACCCGGGTTCGATTCCCGCTCACGGCAAACACCAGTGACGATTATCTGAACCGGTCCTGGGCCTCTCCTATGTCGACTCAGCTTCAAATGAGTAGCTGGTGCGACGTGTAGTAAACATCGCCACTAGGGAGACAAAGGCGGCCGGGCATGGTGTTGGCCATCCACCACCCCCCTCGTGTACCGTACCGGCCTTTATAGGTGCTCGCTAACATCACTTGCCCCTACAGCCTGTTCAGGCTACACGGGTGATCTTTGTATGTGTGTATATTTGTGCGTGTATGTATACACGACACACCACGGTGGAAACACAAAAATAGCTCTG